CCTATTTATTATTTAACTGGTAGTGCATAAGGATTGAAATGATGGATAATTGTATTATTGTCATGAGTTGATCATTTTTCTTCGAAATAACAAAATACAAGAAACTTATGCGAGCAAATTTTATAAATTTGTTTTAAAATTCTGTGGCCATCTTTAATATATTTTAAAACATAGTCTAAATAATGATCTAAATAATGTATATGTTTAGTATCTTAGCAAGTCACAGACATAACCAAGAGAGATGGTGGTTTTATTCCTTGACAAATTAGAAATATAACCATGAATAAGGTAATTTACAAGTAAAAGTTGAAACTCAAAATTTATGTATTTTTCCTTCTTTAATAAAATAATGCCATTCCCATCTTACTGTATTTTAATAAGCAGAGGGTTTTTGGAAATGGCATATTACATACTCACACGATGACTCAAAATCTAACTTGGCCTGCAGTTTTCTTTCAGGGAACAGAATACTCCAATTCCAATCTATTATTAAAAAGCAGATAACATGCACTTTCTGAAATGCCTGTGACTTTACTCTTTTGATTTTATGTAATTATAAGAGAATGTTCATATATATTTTCTTTTCAATTGGCACAGCATTTTAAAATGGAATGCCTTCAAATAAAGTGCATTTTTTTTTTCTGGTTCCTAAAGACTATCATTGGTTTATATGCTCAAAACTTTTGTTAATGTTTTAAAAGAGTCATAGTGTGGTTGTAGCTGTGCTTATGAACAATAAGAATTTCTGTGCATATCTATGTACCTCTAGAAAAAATATTAGCTATTAGTTTGGTTTCTGAAATCAATAACTGATAACCAGAAGCTGCACTTTTTTACTGCGTTATCTTGTAACCTCTTGATTCTCAGGCAAAATTTTGAACTTGGGGTTTTTCCAAAATTTGCAGCTCAAATACTTTTTATTTACACTGATTTCACTTAAGAAAAAGAAGAAACATCATCCACTTAACAGCTTCAATTGTATATATTTTGTAAATAAATAAGGTAAACTTTGACATGACTTCAAATTATTCTCAGGTGGAAAAAAATTTGCAGTTCAAAATAAATTCCGCCTTTGGTCAACATTTTGGATGCAATTCAAAGTTTCTCGTAAAATAAACATATTTTAAAGAGGGTTTTGAGTTTTACTGCATTATTTCTAGCCAACAGAAATGACGCTGGTATCTTTAAAGTTTATTATATGTCAGCTCAATAGCCATTACATGGGGCGAACACAACCATACAGATGCAGTGCCCTCTTCTTTACTTAACCCTTACCACAGTGACAGGAAGAACAACTTCCTATATGTGGTCCACAGGGAATTCTCTCACAAAGTGAAACTTTGGTGTCTGTTTGTTTAATAATAAAAGTATTCTTTGCTGCTTAAATGGGAAATGATCTACATTTTTCAAAAAGCAAAATATTCATTAAAATAATCTTCATGAGAGTTTTTCAGCAAAAGGGGGGAAGAGTTTCCTATTCTGCATAGTAACAAATTGTTTTGAAGCATGAGCTTAAAATGAAAATGCTCCATTACAACAGATTGTAAATTTTTTTTTTTTCCTGATGCTTTTAAAAGTGCCTCGATCATTTCTACGGCTACAGTGCTAAAGTTAAGTATTTGCAATTTTATTTCAACGTTATTGAAAAATGAACATTCTGAGGCTTTGCAGCATTATTAAGAAAAGCTGTCCATACTTTACCATGTTGTTGCATGTGTTTATCTGCTGATTATAAAATGTGTTAAACAGTATTTTAAAAACAAAAAAAAATGCAGAGCTGCGCTTTGATTAATTCAGTGAACAAAACATATGCTGTTGGTTCTGTTCTATGAAATTCATATATGATCAATAAAACCTTGTAAAAGAGCAACTTTGGCTTTTAGGATTGTACTGCCGACCATGTTTTCTGTCCTAGTTAACACTGAGCTCCTACTGTTAACTCAGGGAAACAAAACCACTTTCTGGCTATGATGGTCATGTCTCTTTAATATATTCTTATCCTCTTTCTAATTCATTTTAGGTTGGAAGCTGTGTATTGTGGTTGTTACCCACTTTGTCCCAAAGATTTGGTTTATCCTGAAATATTTCCAGGTAGCTGCTTTAATGTGCTTTTGTCTTTGTTGAGAATTTAATACATGATTTATGCTGAATTGGAAAGTTTGAAAATAAACTTAGGCAGGAGCAATTGTTTATTTGGCAAGTCAACATGTTAGTGTTAAGGAAAATTTTATGTGTTTTAATACATTAGAGTAAGCTTATATTTACCATCTGTTCTTTTAAGATAACAAAAAAGCAAGTTTTCAAATAGCATTCTTCATTGTTAGCATACACATACCAAAATGATGGATTTTTATAAGCAGGTCAGCATTGCTGCAATTGCTTACAGATTTTTTTTTAATGATATACACAGAGAAAAATCAAGGACTCAAAGTCACACCAAATTATTTAAACAATTGACTAGTTAATAATATGCAACTGTTGTACAGGGTACATACGGCTATAGTACCAGTTCTTTGAAAAAAAAATCTCATCACTAAATATATCACATATGCATTGTGTTACATTAGAATAATGTATTTTAATCACCCAAAGGAGATGTCTAAACAGCACAACTACACAGTCTTATTTAGCATTAAACATCCTTGTGAGCTGAGGTAACCTTATAAAATCATGCTTAAATAATGTAAAACACGAGGCGGCACAGAGCAATATGCATTTTTAATTAGTAAAGTGACTAATATCGAGTGTGTGCTTTGAGGTTTTTGTTTCATTAAAAATGTATCTGTTTTTCCTGCAGCTGAATATCTGTATTCTACACCTGAACAGCTTTCAAAAAGGCTCCAGAATTTCTGCAAGAGACCAGATATTATAAGAAAACATCTCTATAAGGTAGTTATTGAGAAGAGATTTATGTGGTATAAATGCCATATTGAAGTACAAAGAAAAATCTTTAAAAAAAACATTTAATTAACATACTGATGTTTAAAGGAAACATGCTAGGGAGGGATATTAGTTGTTACACTAACAAGGATTAATTAAACCGGATGCCAGTTGTATTAACCTAGGTCTTATGAAATACGTGCACTTAATGCACGGTACATGCTTTTTTTTTAAATTTATTGTTTTCTAAGATGACTGTCCTTTACATTTAGCCCCAAGGGGCTTATAAAAATGAACCTGGATTAATGTAACTCATTAGTTTAAAAGGAAGTAAAGGGAAGATTCTACAATTATACTAATGAGGATCAGCCTTTCTTTCCATCATAATGAAATCTTTAGTCCTCAAAAATTCAGGTGAATGACCTGACTGAAGTTTGCTGTTCATATCTGAACTACTTTAAAGATGATTTTCAACACTTGAATATTTCTCTTGTCCAGTTTAATAAAATGACATACAAATCCTCAGTTTGGTTAAAATTAGACTGTCAGTCTCAGCTCTAAACGACAAAGGCAAAAGAATAATAGTATGACTAACATCATCATTCAGTCCCCTCATTCATTATCTTTTTCCCTTACTTGAATCAAGAATTTTACATTGTTGAAATAACAACACAAAGATGCCCTACTGAAAGTCTAAGTAATTGAACTAGGATAAATCTCCTTTATGAGTTTTGAAGGTGGCTCTAGGCCATGAGTAATATACCTTTTTATATTCTTTGAATGTAGCATCTTCATTTTACATAAATTCAGTATAGTTTACAATCTAGCAGTTTTATAATCCAGCATATTTTAATTTTCTTATGTTAATATATAACCTTCTACAAGAAATATAGTTCTCTGCCTTTTCTCTCTCCTCTCCCATTTTCATGGCCTAAAATACATATTTACATAGTGATACATCAAAACATGACTTTGTTTCTGCAGGAAACAGTTAAACTTCAAGAAAAAGGGAGAGAACCAAAAATGCAATTTAACACCCAATTTCAAGCTCATTATCTTTCATTGTCTATTAACTTGGCAATGGTTCAGAAGGTAGCTCATAATAGTTTAAAATGCTGACTGAACAGTTCCAGGCTTCAGTGTGACTCCTTGAGTCAATACTATTGTGTTGTGTACATGGGAGGCTTCCCAGAGAACACAGTCCTCGAAGGTGCAACTCAATATTTCCTCATTTTTAAAGTTCAGGAGCAGATTTGTTTGTATAAAATATTAATCAAATAGTGTCTCATGATAAACTGTCAAAATATGCAGATTATGAAAATTGAGGAAATAGAATAAGTATTAGTACAAATGGATTCATTTTCCATAAATGACACAAAGCTATTTTTAGTGACTTCACAAATTATTAATTATTTTTCCCTTAACATTGATTTTTGGTGAAGTATTTATAAATGTATTTCTACCATCAAAATCGATCAGTTTTTAGCATTGCTTCATGTTAGCTCTTATTACCTGTTATTCTACATCTGTAAATTTTAAACCATGTCAGAAGTCACTGCAACAAGTTGCCTTTACTTAGAAAAGAAAGTAGATTTCTAGTTGAAATATCTTAATACAGCCACTGCCATATCATAGCTTTAATTATTTATTTTACAAACAACTTCTGGAAAATTTCTGAAAGAACGTCAGCTTAATAATATTCTGTTAATATACCATATCATTCCTAATACAGCTTAAATATAACCTATACCTTAAATGTTATTTCACCAAGCTATTATAACATATTTTTAGTTTATACATCATAACATCTTCCATCTCAAAGTCTTATAAATTAATAATTGATATGTATGTATTTATGAGAGTTTACATGTATAATTCATTTTTAAGTATTTTCTACCATGGATTTTTTTTTCCTTATAAAGCTATTATAATACACTTTCACATATGCCTTTATCCATCAATCTTGGTGATATTGTATCTAAAATTAATCTCAAAAATTGTTAAATTGGTCCCCAATTATAGGTAATCAAGAGCTGTATGATGCAGTTATTAGGAAAAATGGGCAGGTCGCAAGGTATCAGAGTTAAAAATCCCAGGAAAGACCACAGATTTAATGTTTTATATAGGATTCAGAGCCAAAACAGAAAAAGAATGCCTTATAAAATTGTATAATTAAGATATAATGTTGTTTTTTTTACCTTATGTTTTATAAATATGCATGTTTTCAGGTAGCATTAGCCTTCATTAAATGCTAGAGGTTTATTTCCACCAAGGAAGCTTTTTACTATAAAAGGAAGAGAATCTTTTTGTGTACTGTGAGCAAAGTGGTGGATTTTTTTGTGGGGGTTTCTTTTTTTGAGATTTATTTTATTGGACAGTGCTGTTTTGCTTTTATAAAACATATGCTTCTGAGATCTAAAAGGATAGAATGTCACTGAATTTTTTAAATCTGTTCCTTTTACATTTTTACACCTTACTCTTTTTTTGTTGTTAAAAGTTTATATTTTAAAATCATGTTGACTTCTTATCATAGAGAGTTCACGTTAGGATAAGATTTTTCATATGGATTCACACTTAGAAATTTAATGACTAGAATAAGGCTACTAACACTTGGCTTTCTTCTCACTGTGCTTTCAATATGAGTGAGAGTTGAAGCTATAACTTGAAGCAGCATTTGAAACAAAATGCTAGTAACCGAAAAACAGAAACTGAATTTACTTTTTTCCTTAAAGTGAGTCGACTCCAGAACACTGAGTCCATTACTTTTCACCTAAAATAGTTTTAGGCCTAAAATGCTTAAATTCCTCAAATGCATGAAAGCATGTTTCCCTCATTGTCTCTCTTACACACAAACATTTTTCTTAAGATCTTCAGAGAAATCTCATAAATGCAAAAATTAAATGTTTCTTAATAATTTAAAAATCTAAAACCATTTTCCTAATTTAACAATATCTGAAACCACTTCTTAAGTTTAGTCATTGACTGTAACTTACTTACACTGTCACAACAGACCCTTTCCTCAGTTGAGCGGATACATTGAACATATACTTCTATATAGGTGAAATAGGGAGTTTTTTATGATTCCCAAGCCTAACTTGAGCACAAGTTTCTAGAAGTAATTATAAAATAAGCAGCCAAGAATTGCCATTTTGTACTAACAGTACATCTTTTCCAACTCAAGCATGTCTAATACTACAAAACTCTCTTTGGCCTCACTCAAACTATGGTAACTAACTTAAAGTTCTCAACTAGTATCTAAGATCTGTACTTCATATTTTTAGAGAACTTTGATCATTATATTTTAAAATGCATTAGGAAAAAATTATGAATATTCCCTTATTATTATTATTAGAGCAATTGTGTAGTGTATATATCTCTCAGACTAACAAAAGTTACTTTCATTCCAATCCTATTTTTCATTTATTTTTATATAGGGAGTGATATTAGCTAGTGTGTATGTGTGTGTATGTGTGTGTGTATTTATGTAGAAAGAGAGGTACTATTTTTCTTTTTTCCTTTTGAGTTGACTTATAGTTTCCTAGATTTTTAAAATGCTAGCTACTGATTTTTATTTTGTTCTCTTCAAGTTCATTAACATTGAAGAAACCTTCATAACATGCTGTTATCTGAGAAGAATTTTAGATTCTGCCTAAAACTAATACTAAGCAATGATTAAGCTTAAAATTCAGACTCAATGCCCAGAAAAGCCATTTGTGGTTGCCTTAATTATGTCAGGCTGTATCTACCCTAACCACAGCCAAGCCACTTTAAGTTTTCTTTAAGAGACAGGCTACTTTGTAGTTCCCTTTTAATTTGAGCTTATACTGTAGATGTGAATAAGGTGTTGGTCACTGATTTTAATACTCCTTAAAAGTCCTTACTTTTTCCCCAAAATGAAAATGTAAGTGCTTGTGACATTTTAAGAACTTATGAAATCTCTCAACTGCACCGGCACAATTTATGGCAGATTTTCAGTCTCAGTGTCCCACTTTGTCTCTTCCTTTCCTCCAGTCCTTCTCTCTTTCTCACTTCCATTCTTCTCTACTTCTTCCCTTGATGTTATTTGGCCTAGTTGTCCTTTGATTTCCCTAAATAAAACCAAAGTAAATAATAGATATGCTTTGGCTGATTACGATCAGTTGGAGGTTTTGGCATCTTTTTCTGCTCCTCATTTGCAGTCTGACTTTAGGTGATGTTATTTTATTTTATGTGTGTGTGTGTGTGTGTGTGTGTGCACACGTGCGCACCCATGCACGCGTACGCAGGCCTTTATAAGATTCATCTGTAAACCTGGAAGAGAAACCATACTAGCAGTTTTCCTCGGAGGACCTGCTGTCATGAAATAATGAATATAATCCCTTTTCCCATTTGCAAACGTGATCACTTTATAAAGTTCACATAATAGTTATTGCATTTATCTTCATGTCTTCCCCCACTTAAAAGTAAAATTCACATTAGCAAAAATATGTATTGAGAGTGTTGTGTATCTTTTGTTTATAGAAGTTAGAAGTAGAATGATAAACTTCTAATAGCTGTCAACCAGAACATAAACCAGGAAACAGTTGTGCAGGAGAATGTACCCATTTCAAACACTGGTAGTTTTTTTCTCTGGTTGGAAGTACAGTTACACTTTAAACCAATCAGAAACTAGGATTTTCTGAGGTGATGAAACTCGAGAACCATTTACTTGGTGGCTTTTTGAAACATAATTGATGTAAGTGATGCAAATTTGCAGTATGAATTTTCAGCATACTTTAGTCTTTCCCTTGTTAATGCTTCTTTTTTCTTTCTCCCTTCTCCCTCCCCCTTGTTACAGGGTGAAATGGCTCCATTTTCTTGGGCAGCCCTACATGGTAAATTCAGGTCTCTGCTTACAACAGAACCTAAGGAAGATTTGTGACAGATGGGGCTAAGTCACAAACTTGCAGCCTAAGGCAGAATCTGAAGAACTTTCCAGAGTGTGCCCATATTTACCTGATCAGAGAGAAAAGAAAATCTGCAGAGGAAGCTGAGCCTGGCTGCTTGTCATAGCTGACACAGAGCCATCTGCCACAAACCTGTGGCGGCTCAGATCTCCAATCCCTGCCACCACCCCAACTCAAATTAAATACAGATTCCTAGAGACGTTATGATGGTTACACATGTCCTCGGCATCACATGTAGGAGACTGTTCAAAAAAAATATGTGGCCTGTTGTATAACCGCACTCATGCGTCCCATATGTGGTGCCACGTTGAATTTCCGGTCGAATCCGTTTTTATCCTCTGTACTGGATGACATGGTGCCTGAATTCTTTCTTTTCGCCGACACGATGGCAGCCAAACTGCAGCTTCAAACGCTTGCACTTGGCTGGGTTTCTACCTGGGTTGCCAGGTTATCATCGGAGCCTTGTTCTGTCCTCAAAGGGCCACAGGGCCTGAAAGGAGGATCAGAATGCTACCAGACTAATTGGGCAGCCATCTCGGAATTGTTTGTGGGCAAAGGGCTGCTTTAGCACTTTTCTTTTAGCAAATTAATGACTTTCTGGCACAGGGGTTTTTAAGTGAAGGTATTAATAAGGGGTCTGGCAGGTATTCCCATGATTCACAGAGTTACATTTGCATTTAATTAATCTTAAAGAAAGTTGCAAGATAAACAGCTGTAATTCGGACAAACATGGCTAATGGAGGAAGTGGGGCCATCTAGCCCATAAAACAAACACTGAAATACTTGTTCTAATGTTTTTCTCACCCTGGGGGTAAAAGTAGACAAAGCAAAATACTTACTAACAAAACCAGGAAATTTTATTTAAATTTTCCTCAAAAATATTTGCATCCAGCAACAAACAGAATCTTTTCATGATAAATCACTTATGATTCCAATAGTCAAGCTGCTGTATTTGTTGATGTAAAGATGTTTTGAAGGGCTAGATTGTAAAATAAATTTTTAATAGAGTGCCCACTGCCATTTTTAATTAGCATACTCATTTACATATAAGTGTGTACATCTATCTGTGTGTTTCTCACTGAACATTTTCCTTGTGTCAGAGACAACGAATACAATTGTTTCTTTTCCGGATGAACAAGGATCTGTTTTGCAAATGTTTGTAAGATATTATGACATTTCCAAGATTTTCTTTGCATTCTGGAAAGCAGGAGGTAAACATTTGTAGTCATTAAGGTAAAGTCTGTTGATAAACCATCTTCTGTTTACTGACAGGTAAATTGTAACTTTCCTCGCTTTTGAAATGAATAACTTCTATACACCACAGAGTGAGGCACAGGCAGCAAGGTAGATAGACGAGGACCAAGCCTGGCTCCAGAGCTTCTAGAAGGCCTGAGTGGCCTCGCTGGGATCCAGGATACAGCAGACAGTGATTTAAAAGTCCAGTACGGTCCCATTTGACAGGCAGCAAAGCAGACAGCAGGAAACAGACCGCGTCGGAGAGTCAGGCATAGCACTCGGGTTAGCAGCAGTCTTGTACAACTAGATCAAAAACATAGGAGTTCAGAGTTCATGAAGCCTGGGGACTTAAAAGCAAGGAAAGTAACATGCAGAAATAAGCCCAATCTTTGAGTGGACACCTCTCACCAACAAGCATGAGATCTATAGGGTGTGTCTGGCCACCACCGCACTGGCTGCCGGTCCTCATGTACAGGGAAGTCACTGAACCAGTTACCTCCTCACCCGAACAATGAAGTACTCAGGAACTATTTCACAAGCCTGCTCCAGTCCGACTGAGAAACTTGGAATTTAGCAGGTGTGCTCACTGAGAGTGAAACTTAAGATAGACATAAGAAGTTCTTAGACACTTCTCCTGGGCAGGGTTACACTTTTTCCCAACTAATAAGATGAACCAGATGAACCAGTTTGCTTCAGTGAGAAGGTACTTTGTCACAGATGACATTTCTCAAGGTAATATTAAAATCTCACTGTGAACCCAGCCACGGTGGTGCAGTAGCATCGCACTGCTCTGTGATGCTGGAAAGATCAGGGTTTGGCTCTCAGGACAACCTGTACACACAGGGCACACATGCATGAGCCCATGGTCATGGCTGGTTGAAGGCTAGAGGGGGCATCATGACATGAGAATCTCTGTGGATGCTTGTCACATATATGTGTGTATGTTTAGACACACATGTAGACATATATATATATATATCCATCCATCTTGGTCATCTCATGAAATGAAGAAAAACTTCATAAAAGTCCAACAGTCGAGAAATGGTGCTTAGATTACTATATTTTTGTATACTGCAAATATTGGACTTTTGGACTTTTATAGTGATGAGATATTATAATCACAACTCTCCATATATGTTTTCTCACTGATTTATGGGAATGCTAAATACCTTTCAGAGATGCATTTGATTTTATCAGATATCGTATTGAAAGTTACCTGTGTGTGGATTTATTTTTATATACCCATTAACTCATATTTGTGGTTTGCTGTACCCAGCATTCCTTCTGGAATAAAGACCAGTATTAAAGATACTGCTTATGAAAACTATGCTATCAAAGTTGGTGTTAGGCACATAAGCAACAGAAAGTTTTGTAAATGTGTAATTCTTACCATTTAACATGATGTGACTATGTATGTATTTGGATGCATGTATGCATGTGTGTGTGCGCATACACTCAACACCCATGACAGGCTGGAATGGCACATTCTTAAGTAAGATAACCAATATTTTGCTGAAGTCAGGGGATAACTGGGAATACACGTTGACTCATTAATTCCTGATACCCATATTTTTATGAAAATAAATCAAATGTCCGTATTTTTGTCTAGTTTTGAGTACATTTGTGAAAATTCTGGTCTTTTTTTTTAACACTTAATTCATTAATTCTGTTCTAAACTAAATCATTAAACCAGTTTTAATTTTAAATATATTTAAAATTGTTCATTATTAAGGCCTTGAGACAGTCGCTAGGATGCTTGCCCTAAAGTTACTTAATCTGTATTTCTGGATGGTGTTTCTGTAATAAATAACAGGGCACCTCAGCTAATCGAAACTCATAACCATAGAAGGCTGCACAGATTAATTTCAACACCTTGAAATGCATCTGGAAGGAAAATTTTCATTTTATATTGAAGGTGTTAATTATATTTGATATTTTTAAAAGTAAAATCTGTTTTTGAGAAAGCATCTGCTACCCAGAAGTATTGTGAGCCACAGAAGATATTTCTTTTAAATCCGAAGTTACCTTCTGTGGTTGATAGAATCCATTTTCCAATGATAGTCCATGCCGTCTCTCAGTGCTGATATATTGAGTCGTATCCCTTTGGTGACTATTGACAAGTATCATCCTAACTGCCTTTCTGTTGGTGTATCAGATCTTACATTTATCAGTAAGAAGACTATATTGTAAACCACCTATTTGAACAAGTTTCATTGTAAAATTTGGATTGAGCTATAGGATAACTAATCCTTCTATAATCTGCCCTCCCTTCAAATGTAAATGTTCATTAAGATTAATGGGGAAAGCTTTAAAACATGCAAGCAATTCTACATGCTGTTCAAAGATTTATGCACATGTGATTAAAGTACTACCAAAGAAATGGAAATTAACACCAAATTCACAATAATGGGTAGGTCAGAGGAGTGATGGTGGAAAGAACAGGACACATAAGTATACAACCAGCAGTCTGCTGCTTAAGCAGGCTCATGATACACATAAGCTTATCACTACTATTTCTGATTTTTTAATGTGTCTTACATGTCATATTGAATAAACTTTTTGATAGGAGCTATAAATACTTGGGGAACTAGGTAGTGAGTTTTACTAATGCCTTCTTAACATTTCTTGACTTCTTAAACTATCGTTCAAGTTAGAAAACCCCCTCAAATGGTGACTGAAACTGCTCTACTTACCAATTTTGCGTGAGAACACTTTCCTCTACTTCTCAGAAGCCATGGGCTTCCCCTTGACTCTGAAAAGATCATACTATAGAGAAAGTCAGACTGGGCTGTCCATGGGTTCCTTTTCCTGGGGGCTGCTAATCACCATTTCTAATTAATGCCTGTGGCATTGCACATACAAGGTGGGAAACTAGTTTTATGAATTCTCTTTTGAAGGGTAATGACAGGAAGATGAAGGTAAGTGTTAAATGAGCCTGTCTCTCTTTATCATGAAAAATGCAGAACTGGGTGGAAGAGCACCTAAGCACACTGCCCACTCCCACCATACTACCTGTCCCCTTTCCTCTTCAAGACACACAGGACTAGTGGTCTCTGTCCTTCTATTGCAATCTATTCGATCAAAAAGGAGTCCTCCGTTTACCTTTAGAAGACCTTTGCTGAATATGAGATGCACATGGCTTCGGAGACCAAGATCCTCACTCACCCTACAGCCTATTTTTCTTTTAATTTAATTTATTTAAAGTAAATTAAATTGTAATAAATAATTTGTGGGACCAGCAGGTGGCATAATGGTTACATTGCTGGACTCCCCCGTAATCCATTGTAGCTCAAGTCCCAGAGCCGGCAGCTTAAAACTCATGCCAGGCATGTGTGTGTGCATGCCCAAAATCCCAAGAGAAGAAAGGAGGAGAAGGGATTATGGCATGGCCATCCCCCTGGGAGGTGATTTCTTGTTTTCACTCGGTCTCTCCAGCGAGCACATGCACCCTATAGCAAAAACCTCTAAAAACCAGAGACAGCGTGGGAGGAGAGCGGGAGGTGGCAGAGGGTAAGAGATAGGGAATCAAGGATGGGGGAAAAACGCAAAACATACAGAAAACAAGAAATGGAAGATCATTTGCTGACCATAACATGTTTGTTGATGTGCTTGATTGAGACAATATACAGTGTACTCTGGATGGAAAATCTCATTTTGTATGCTGTAGTGATGTACAGTGAATGAATGCAAATAAATAAATTGAAGAAAAAAAAAACTCTAAAAACAGATTTTAATTTGTGAGAGGGCACATGCAGCCACTAGAGAGAGAGGGGAGAGACCAAGTGAGAAAGCACCTTTTATAGGGGTGGTCATGCTGCAATCCTTTTTCCTTTAGGGACTTGGGGTGTGTTTTTCACATACAGGGCCCAGGACTCAAACCACATCGTTGGCCATGTGTGATCCATCTCCTTAACCACAAGCCACCAGCTGGCCCTACAGTCCATTTTTCTAAATTGAAATCTGGGATCAGTGTCTTTAAGAGTCCTTTCGTTATCTGTCATTATCTGAGTGATTCCTCATTTTTTCCCATAGCTCTGTGTGAATAACTTCCAGCCCTAAGAGAGGTTCCTGTTTTTGTGAACTGATCTATAAGGAATTGATGACTCTTGAAAAATAATCTAAAAATCTTGTATGATTCTATCAGTTACTGCCTTGAAATAGCAGGCCTAAGGTGGAGTGGTAGAGGGTGTGACTCCCACTAGGAATACTTATATAACCTTTCTCTAGGAATTTGAAGTTCTTATATTTGAAAATGTAATGTTTCCAGTATCATTGCACAAATGAGAATAGGAGGGCTTCATACTGTGGCATATTCGGGAGCTGGAATACGTTACAGATACATTTTGCATAAGCCTTGCCCTGCATCGGATGCCGTGATGGTCACCCTGTCCATTTCAGGAAGCTCTAGGTTTAGTAGCATGTATGACTTAATTGGACCCTGAGTCTCCCTCTCCCTCTCCCTCTCCCTCTCTCTCTCTCTCTCTCTCTCTCTCTCTCTCTCTCTTCGCATCAGACAAGAGCTGGCAAAGGGCAACAGAGTACTTGCTTTGCGGCTCACATTGCGGCTTTTAAAAAGCACGTAAAAGACCA